GCGCGGGGTGCAGGGGCAGCGGGGCGGGCGCCGCAGCCGGGGTGACCTTAGGCGAGCGAGCCAAGGTGAGGTGCTCCAGCTCGGCGCTGCGGATGCAGAAGGGCTGGGCTGGGCTGGGCTGGCGCTGGGAGCCCACGGGGGCCCGCGTCCTGCGGGGCTCAGGGCTGGGCCCCTTGCTGCACTGGAGTCACTGGTGCGACTGGGAGCCGACACGGTGCCAGGGTGAGGGGCGCGTGCCGGGGGCTAGGGCAGGACGCCTGGGAGCCTGCTCCGGCCTGCGCCCCCCGCTTGCTGCGTGACCTTGGGCGAGCTGCCCCAGCTCCCCCGTGCCACGAGGAAGGGGGTGCTCGTTGCTCACCTCCGGGGTGCCGGCGCCAGGCTCCTGCCGCAGGGTCTCCGAGGGCCCGGAGCAGCAGTGCTGCAAACCTCGGGCTGGCACGTGGTCCCGCTGCCGAGAAACAATGGTGCTAGCGAGGAGGCAGGCCGGACGGGAGCAGTCCCCTGCCCACACGAAGCAGGGGCGAGGGGGCTGGAGCCGGGTCAGCTAGGGGCAATGCTAGCTCCGACTGGGGCAGGGGGCCCAGGCTGCAGGGATGCCGGGTGGGGGAACCCGCTGTGCGGGGGCCTGCGGTGCACAAGGGCGCTGGTTCCCGACTGGGCCCTGGGCAGCGCAGTGACCTAGAGCGGCAGCAGCTGCAGATTTGGAGGCGCACGCGTGTTCACGACAGCTCCACGGGGTGCGTGTGCACTCCCGATAGTGAGCACGTGCAGGAACGTGTGCATCCGGGCGAGCTTTTGCACCACGTCCTCGTGTGCGGGATCTGTTGTGCACTCAGCCCAGCGGCCCGTGCGCCCCGGCCCGCGGAGCCCTTTGTCTCCCATCCCGGATTGCGCCTCGTGCAGCTCAACGTAAATAATTCATGGTCAGTGGCATGATGAGCTCATCCTGCCTGGTGGAAGGAAGCGCCGGCGAGCGCGGTGCGGTGCAGCGCGGGCTGGGGCTTTGTGCGAGGGACGCGGACCCATCTCAGCTGGGCAGGGGCCAGCTGCCGTGGGGCATGGCGTGGCTCCGGGCATGTAGTGCCCAGCCTGCCGGGCTGCTAGGACCCTGCTGGGGGCTGGGAAGTCCCTACTCGTGTGCCTCAGTTTCCCCCTGGGACAGTAGTCACCTACTCTGGGAAGCAGCATGCAGCTGCTGCAAGGCCTCCGCAGGCCGGGGCGGTGCAGCCCCATGCCAGGACCATCCTTAGCAATGTCCTTCCAGCCCAGAGGCCCTTCCCCCTGCATGAGCTGCCAGCAGTATCATGTTGAACAAGAGGCACCCGCGGAGAAGTGCATCTGCAGGGCTCTCCCGGGACCCCGCCGGCTGCAGGGAGGGCACCGCTGGGCCAGCAGCAGGCGAGACCCCTGGAGCTGCACGATGTGGCGACAACTGGCTTGGACACACGGCCGGGCAGGGGCGCAGAGCTGGGCAGGGCAGGGCTGTTGCTGGCTTTGTGTGGATGCCAGATCCTGCTTCGATTCCTGTCCCAGTCTCGGGGCTAGGAACGCATCCCCGGCTCCATGACATCCAGCGGGTGCAGCGTTCCTGGGTGCAAGACGCAGGCCGAAGGAGGCATCCCCACTTGTGCTGGACAGGCCTGGAGCAGCTCATGCGCGTGTCCCAAGCCCTCTACGGCTGGCAGGGATCCTCCCCGAGGTCCCGTGGGGCTTGGGCTGAGGATCAGAGTCCTTCCGGGCATTGTTACCGTGCTCTGGCAAGGGTATCCTTGGCTCCGGCACACCTGGGTTGTTATGCAAGCCTGACACGTGGGCATCTCACTGGGCATCTGGCCCAGCGTGCTCAGTGCCCACAGCCCTGGATCCCGGCACGCTGTGATCCCGGGAGCCAGGCAGGCTTTGGGCAGCAGCTGCCACCAGAGGCCTCTTCTGTGGCTGCAAGAGATAAAGGCCCTTGCAGAGGTTGCAGCTCTCCCAGTGCTCCCCCCGAGCCCAGCTGGGTCCTCGGCCCTGCACACACAGCTGGGACCCGGGCAAGCTGGCGCCGACATCCGAGTGCGGGGCAGGGAGATTCCAGCGTGGCACCCTGGAAACGGGTCAAGACAAGGGCAGCTGAGCAGAGACAGGCCCAGCTGGGCCTGGTGTGGCAAGGAGCAAGGCAAACAGCGTCCGGGACAAGGGCAGGCCCCCGCGTTTGCTGTTGGGGGCTGGAGCCAGACTGGCCTGGGCGGTGGAGTCTCCGTCCCAGCCTGGACCAGATTCCCAGAGGGACCCGCTGCCTCCTGACCCCAGCATCTCCCAGCAGCCCCCGGCTCCTGGCGCTGCACATCATCCTGGCACCAGGAAGGCGCAGAGCTGAGCTGGAGATGGAGCAGGAGCTTCAAGGGAGAGCGCCGGGCCATCGCTCCCAGCAGGGAGGAGTCTGCTGTCTGAGGGGCTGCCGCTGCAGCGAGCGCGGAGGACAGGCCTGCATGCAGGCTGCAAGGTCACCGGGAGCCGGAGCAGCCTCGTTACTGCATGCTAATTAGGTGCCATTAACGCTCCTGGCAGATGCTGCCCTTGGGATGGACGGAGACGGCACGCGGCCTGGCCACAGCCATCAAGGCGACCCCGCTGCTGCATCCCTGCACCGTGGCTGGCCTGTCGGGTCACCGGGCAGGCTCCTAGGCCCGGCTGCCTGGGCCTCTGCATCGCTTCCTCTGCGAGTGCTGCATCCCACCCCAGAGCTGGCTGCACGCTGTAGTTTGTCAGTCGCTCGCTGGCACCTGGGATCTCTCAGTGCCGGGGGCCCGGGGTGGGAGGATGCCCTGGCAGAAAGCCCCAGCGCCGCTGTAGAAAGCATCTCGAGTGTGTTCTGCAGCTGAGCACGCAGCAGGTGATGGCCAGTCAGCCCCGGGCAGACAGCGCTGTGGTCCCAGGGGCTGCATCCTGCATTCCCCCTGCGGCACGATTCACAGCACGGGCGAGAGATGGGCAAGGCAGGTGGAGCCGACTGCTCTGCTCAGGGTGCTGGCCTCACACCCCTGCCCTGCACCATCCTCCTGGCTGCTCAGCAAGGCCCAGGAAATCCTCCAGCTCCTTCTCCAACGTCGGGTTCCTCAGTCGTTGTTCACCAGTCAGGACTGACAGCTGTCCAGCAGCGTGGAGGAGCCAGCCTGCAATCTGTTGCCCCATTTCACAGGTGGGGAAGTCAAGGCACAGGAAGGGGCAGTCACCCGAGAAAGCAAAGGCTGAGAAAACGGACCACCCACCCCTCCCAGTTCCAGCCTGGGCCACTGTACCCCCAATATCCAGGTCCAGACCATGCAGCTCACATCCAGCCTAGCCCGGTCCTTTCAAGGGACCTCAGTTTGCCCAGGCAGTGCCCTGAGTGCTCAGGGAGGGCTGTGCTGCGTGCAAATCCTGGATCGGTGCCCGTGGGACACAGACAGGAGCAGGCTTCCTCATAGCTCGAGTACCAGCTTGGTCTCCCTTGTTTACCGGGGCCGCACCCTCCCGGCCCCCGCGGGAATCCAGCAGCTGCGTGACCTGCCGCGTGGCAATTGCTGGCTTGTCAGATGCGCCGTCTCCAAGCGCCCTGTGTAGTAATGCGTCCCCTTCCCAAGGGGTAAAGGCTCCGCCGAGTCCTCTCTCCTTTCCCTGCCCTGGAGCTCGTCTGTGGGGTCGCCCCGACTCGGACAGCGGTTTCACCCCAGACGTGGCTGCATTGCAGGAGCGGGCAGCACTGACAGGCGCTGAGAGCCCAGCCCGGTTCCTGCCGCCCCGGGAAACTCCCCAGCTCAGCCAGGTAGGCAGCAGGAGGGAGCCCCCAGCCCCACTCTCTGCTGCAGCCGTGCCAGGGCAGACGGGAGCCCACAATGCCAGGCCTGTGCGCGCCGGCCCAGCTGGGCCGTGCGGAGAGAGCCCGGCTTTGTTGCAGCCGCGGCAGGCAGCCAGGCTGCCCTGGAATGTCCTCGTGGGCGCTCGGCAGCGTCGCGTGCCCGGGCACGAGCATCCGGCCCGGCCTGAAGCTCCCCTGGGCGCTGCCCCGCTTCTCCAGCACCGAGCACCAGCCTTGGGTGCTGTTTGCTCTGCCACGGCCCCCCACAATCCCACCCTGCTGCCCCAGCGCCCCCGGCACGGCTGCACCCAGCCCCAGCTCTGCCATTGCGGGATGCCCCCTGCTCTGTTGGGGGGAAAGCAGTGTCCTGAGCCGGCCCCTCGTTCCTGGTTGGGGATCTTCCCTCTTCCCCCCCCCCAACGTGCATCTGCAGGTAGATCCAGCATCCACGGGACCCTTGGGGTCTCCAACAGAAGGGGAGGGGAAAAGGGCAACTGAACTATTTGTGCGCAGAAGCGCGGTTAAGCCAGTTGTTCGCCCACATCCGGCCAGAATCGGGAGGGTCGAGGCGCAGGCCGGACCTCCCCCCACGCCTGCCCCGTGCAGCGGTGACTGCCAAGGGCGGGAAGGGACCCGTGGCCTGGCGAATGCCACTAGCTCTGGTGCAGGAGATGAGCTGGGGGTGGGGGGGGTCTCAGCTGAGACACTGGGCAGCGCCTGGCACCACCAGGGTGGGAGAGGGGCACAAGGCTGAGCAAGGGGTGACAAGGGTGGGGGATGCAGCTTCTCTTAACCCTTTGTGTCCCTCAGGGCAGCTTTTCCTTTGGAGAGAGGCCTCCTGGTGACCGGTGGGTCTGGCCAGGGGGCACCAGCTGGTGAGGGGCAGTGGCCTGGGTGTCCAGCCCTGGATGCAGACCCAGGGGTTGGGGCGAAGGGCATTTGCACACTGCGGGGCTGTGTGCATGGGGTCCGGGGCACTTCTCCATGGCACGTGGGGCTGCTGTTGCCCGTGCCAGCTGCCCAGTGTGCCCAGAAAGCAGCACAGCCCTGGGCAGGGCAAGGGCACTGGGGCTGAGCAATGCAGAAGGGGATGGGGGGGCATGGGGAGCCAGCCAGGGCCCACTCCCTGCACCGGGCAGCTGGGACCCAGAGGCAAGGAGCCCGGTTTGCTCCGGGCACAAAACAGGGTGCAGCAGAAGACACCCCCCCCCCTCCGTGAGGGTGCAGCACTTCCGTGGGTTTCCATAGAGACAGAGGAAATCTAGAGAGCGCCCGCCGCCTCTCTCCAGCAGCCGTGGCTGGGGG